AAAACGCTTTAACAATTACCTCATTCCTTTTGCCCTCTTCAATATACGTTTTCACGATTCGCAACAGCTGGAACGCGAGATGCCTGTCGGCCCGCGGAAAACATCTAAAACGCTCAAATCTGCAGTCAAAACCAGCACAAGGATAAGGCCTCTTTGGTAGAGTCGGTTTTTAGATTTCACGAAAATATTGAAAAGACTGAAATGTATTCCAGCAGTATCGTTAACAAGGGATTTGCGTTTAAACCTTAGATATACACTTTAATTTAATCACCGAAAAACCTTACAGCCGATAATTTTCAAAGACACTTTTCTGGACGAACAGCAAATTCTTTTCCAGAGTGCCAGTGGCATGAAGAAGCACTGCATGAAGGCGCGTCAAATAAACGTTTTTTGGATGCAGATATTCCTTGGCGTGATCAATTTTCTCTTGAATCTGAAATTTCTCTTTCATTCTTTTACTTCAAAATCGCATGTAAGAATTTAGGTGTTTTAGCACAAAGAACTAGCGTCATACAAAATGCTGCATCTTTTTCGTGATAAATGTGTGTTTGTCTGAATACTACGAAGTCATACAAATTCACTCGGGCTATCAACGTGGAATCTTCCATGTTTTGACTTGTGCTTATGGCGCATTAGCATGTAATTTCCATGCTGAATTTCAGTATTTGACCACGCCACTGGGATCATCGATTCTTTACGATTCGTTCATTCACTTCAACGGCAAACTGGCACTGTCATATGCTAAGGAGTCAAACTCGTCATCAGCTTGCTTCTAAGCAACACTTGAAAAAGAAGGCCATCGACAGCCCTGCCAGCACGTGAATACTTGTGTACATGACTACAAAACCAAAAGGTTGTATCGTACGTAGTGAGTGATTGGGGGAAAGTGCGGAAGCTATAGCAGATCTGCTTACGCTTTATAATTTTTATTCAGTAGCACAGTTTCGCCACTTTTTACCTTCACAAACAATTTGTCAAAGATTGCGTTGTCTAAAAAATCCCGATCATAAGTGTTCAGACAGCATGTTTTGTTTTTCAAATGAACGCACTTCACTGGTGTTGATTTCGGTAGAAAAACGAGCAGGAAGAGAAAGCATCAAATGCTGGCATTTTCTTATCCGCTC